GAAAATGAAATTTCAGTGTGGATATATACAAGCTCTACAAACTCATCTTAACTGAGGAAAGTGCTACTAAACTTTCTGGCATACTATTCATCGAAAAATAACGTAAATGAAGATTTCCATTTATTCAGAGTATATATATTAGAGTTGTTTAATTGTTGAATGGATTAGTTTGACTAATTCATTTTTCAGCAAGGTTCATATACTCCGACTAACTCAGAACTTCTGGAATATTGGGTATCGAAGCGGGTACCGGATCGCTTACTTGCCTGTCAGCATGCCGTTGTAGATTACGAAATTGAAGGAGCTAAAGTGAAAACAAATCTACTATTTGAAGCTGCTACCACAGCTAATTCAGTATGTCTTTAATATATTAGCTAATTCTTCAACAAATGCTATGAATTTGAAGAAAGAAAAATGATGTAAATGACTGTTATTGTTGTAGTTTATAATATCTTTCGTTTTTTTTGATTCAAAATATTTGCATCGAAAAAATATATATTTCATAATGGTTGAAAGAAGTAGAATTAACTAATGAAATAAAGGAAGATTTTCTAATTTCTAATATACTTTGGATTTTTCTTTATTTGTTCCAAAAAAAGCTTTTATAATAATTTATTTCATGTAATTTAATATTTTATTATTTCAGTTACCAAATATATTCAAAGATAAACGATGTAGTGCATTTGAAAAGCTTCAAGAAAACCGATTTCAAGCAGAAGCAGCAGAATATAAGCGTAACAATGGTCGATCAAATATTCTTAGCGGTCTTGGCAACTTCTTCACTAATATTAATAATCATGGAAGGTGATTCATTATAACCACTTCATCCTTACAATTTTAATTAAATTATTCATAAAAGTTTTTCAAAGCTCCGGAGGTAAAAAAACAAAGAAGAGAAAAACAAGTTTTTCGTTTATCTGTAGAAAGTATCCGTTTCCGGAAATGTTCATGTAATCTTCTTATTTTATTTTCGTTTATTATATAAACATTGAAAATATTCCATATTCACGCATTATTCATTCAAAATTTGGTAACATATTTGTCACATTGTATTATCTCTCATTCTGCGCCATTTCTCTCTGAATGTTTGCTTGGCTTAGTTACTTTTTCAAAATTTAAGCAATATTTTTCATTTTGATTTTTACGCAACTAATTATTAATTAATCCATTTCGGGATATATCTAATTCTTCTTGACGTACTGTTGGCTTAATTACTATTAGATTTTGCAATTACGTTTTCTGATTTTTAAGTTTTGTACAATTCATACCAGTAATCCTTTTCTCGGGTATATCCAAATACCGAGTTATATTCTTCACATCCTTTTTTTCTCTTCTGAGTAATATTAATTTGATAAATAGCTGATATAGTTAGGAATATTATACATTATCACATATTAAACTTCATTGTATTTCTCTCCTTATCTCTTCAATCACAAAAATGTATTTTCGGAATTGTAGAATTTGTAATTTTATCTGAAGTTTTACAAGTAGCATAAAGTTATAGAGCGATAAGACGTGATGAATGTAGAGGTAAAGAGTTGAACATATCAAAGGAATATAATTGTATGTTAATAGAAATGATTAGACATTGCGAATTGCTGCTGTAGTTAGCAAAATGAATGAAACAGATCGTTCATTTTTCGCTTTTCATAGTTGGCATACCATTGAACAGTGACAAGTTAATTGTTAAAATTCGATTACTTCGTGAATGTTAATTAATAAATAGTAATAATAAAAGCGATAAAAAAGACAAAGAAAGAGTAGCAAAAAATTACTTCGATTTTGTTAACTTTTTCATACATTTCAGTTGTACTAATAATTGGGATATCAAAATTCTTTTATTTTTTCCTTTTATTCAAGAGAATAATTAAAATGCGATCGATAATTTTGTATCTTTCCCTTCAAAAATTTCTATGTAATTTGTTTATTTGTTTTATTTCAAATTATTCATAAATATTCAAATGAAATTGTTTGATTTTTCCAACGCTAATAATACATTTGGCATTAATATTTTAAAATTTTTGAATAAATTCAACGGCAAAAAAATTTGGTAATATTTAATTGTTAACGACTAAACTTTAATCCATAATTTGATGATCATTGATTGTTATCGGATCGGAGTCCATCCATTTCCATTTGCTTCAAATTTTTGAAACACAAAATTTCTTATACTTCACGTCAATATAGAATTTTAAAAAAAGTTTATTCAAATATTTCATCCATCTATTATGTAAAATGAAATAGAAAATGAAAAATTTTATCGATTTGAAAGTTTTGTTGGAAAAAAGTGAGAAATTTCTCACTTTTATTGTTTATAAGTTTAGGAATGAAAAATAGCTCATTTTATATTTCTCACATAGATGAATGAATTAATTAGTTTACATTTAAGAATAATTATTATTACAAAAAGTAAAAAGTCCAGTCGGTTCTTTCAGATGATGCAAACAACCGAAAGCAGAAATTTAATTGTTATCCAACTAATTTTGTAAGCATAATTTCAATGAGAAAGGTAAGAAAGAAGGGGAAGAGGTGAAAGAAATTAGTATAAATTTTATTTTGACATTGCATTCCAATGATTATCAGAAAGATTCATCTAAATGATATCAATTATGTGTGGAAAAATTGCGCGAATATTTTATGGAATAGTTTTGTATGGAATAACATATATATATATATATATATATATATGAATGAAACGGTTTTAAAATTTAGTATGACAAGTTTAAATTTTTCAAGATTGTTAAACTTTTCTTATTGATATAATATTAGCAATAATTTCATAAAATTATTTGATTGTTTAAAGTATAAGTTGACATAAAATGATCAGATGATCATATCATACATTTCATTTGTTCATGCATTTTATCCTGATAGGATTTGTGTCCAGAAAGATAGGAATGATTTTAATATACGGAAAATTTATGAATAGATAAAATACAAGCTTACTGGATTTACAATTTGATTGAATTCCATTGTCAAATATTCCAATTCTACCGCTTGATTTACTTTTCATTGAGTTGTGATTCCTGAGCCAATTATTGACATAGTGATTTTGTCATCTCTTTGAATAACAACCGCTTTACTCTTCCGCCGATCTCAGCGTCTGGTACAGATAGCCGATAAATGAAAACTGTTGATAGCAGAATCGTTCCGGTTGATCACAGTCAATCATCTGCTCATTCAATGCTGACTACTTCTCCTTACACACATTTACCATTCGGCCAATTGCTTTTTGCAATTGCCATCCATGACTTTGACTTTTCTTTCTGACTTTTTTGTTTACCTGCCCTTTTACTTTTACTGCATAAACAAATGCAGACAATTTAATACATGCATCATTGACATGAATTTATTTTCTACTTTGGGAAGAGAGCAAATTATACTTATTAACTTTTGTTGATAACACTATCATTTACTCATATATTATTTGTAAATAAATAATTCAAAGAAATAAAACAAAAATGAAAACAAATATATTTTCCTCACTTCGCTCTCTTTTTCATTCCAACAGTTGTGAAAACAAAATCAATGAAATAATCATTTCGAAATTTTCTCATTCCTGACATCCATACGGTAGTGATTATATGTGAGTCATTGTTCGTTTAGTGATGGAAAATACATCAATCATCAATGATAGGGTTGGGTGGGATAAGTTAAACAAGATGAAGAAGGAAAAAAAGAAACATTGAAAAGGTAAGCATCAATGATGACAATGTTGAAAGTAAAATGTTGAAATTTGGAATGAAAATGAACAATTCTAATTTGCCATACATTTGCAATCTTTCTTCTAATTTTGATTTCTGATTTTCGGACAAATTAATTGATAGAGAAAAGAAAAACAAGAATAGTTTTGATACGATCAGAAGAATTTTTCAATGATTGAATTATTTCTTTATTTTATCGATCGTTTTTCATCACTTCCATCATAACATTGATTTATAAAGAAATTTTTTAGAGATAACATATCCGAAAAAGATTACAGTTTAAGCGTTCGATGATGATAATATGATGATGATAATAGTTTTGATAAAAAAATGATTGGTAAAGAATTTATGAAATGAAAATTGTAATGTTTGATGAAATTTTCCATTAAAGTAAGATTGACTTAAATAATTATTCAAATTAAAAAGAGTAGATGTGTAAATTTCTTAATAGTAAACATTCAGGGCAGAATTTCCCGATTTATTATTATATATACGTTCTTTTTTTCTTGAAAATTATAGTTAAACCATAATATATCTATTGTGTCATATATCTGTAGATAATCGTTATCAATTAATTAAAGATCAAATGGAATTTATTAAGAGTTCACAATTAATTCGCAATTTATCTCTTTCCTTATGTTTTCACTTATTATCTGTTAATCTGATCATTTTCAACTAAACAAACTTGAAAAATATGTAAAAATAAAACAGAAAGCAATTCAATTATTCTGATGATGAATATCATTGATAAAATTGTTACCAATGAAATGAGAATTATATTATTTTGAATAATCATATCATTTTGAAGTGAAAGAAGTAATGGTCCCGCATAATTTTCTTTTAAAAGCGGAAATCTGTACAAGCATTATCAAATAATGATAACATAAATGATAATATATTATTAGTTCATAAGGAATGAGTATAATGAGAGAAAGAAGTTGGAAGTTGGTTGAAATTTGATAATGGAATACGGGAAGAATTAATCATCGTGTCACTCCACCCATCATCACTATCACAATTATCAGCATCAATTGTTAACAATGATGTGATGGCACAACCTTGGAAATGGTTATCTAAGCTGTAATCAGGCAAATTTGCTCTCTTGCGGTTGGCTAGCAATATAATCAACAGATTAACTCATCTGAATAAACAAAGCCCTCATTAATCTCATCATTCTGCTTTTTCTTTTTCCAAAACAATTTTAAAAAATATTTTAGATTAAGGAATAATTTCGGATTATATATTCCTTGACAAGTTTGCTTAATATTTTTAAAAAGTCATTTTAGATTGATGTATTTCAAATCTTTTTACGCTAATGTAATCGCGAACTTTTAATATTATTATAATTATTTTTTTGTTTCAAATCATCCTTTTCAAAGTTTCAAAGGTCATTTTCAATTTTTAAGTGATGCGTTTCTGATTTCTTCTTTTCTTTTTTCTATCTGAACAGTTTTTCAGGTTTCAGATCTACCAAATTATTATTAAACTTTCAATGATTTCTTTCACAATTATATTCAAGATTATTTAAATTCCGCAATGATGACATCTTCAATTTTTCTAATTAAAATTATTTCTATGTTATTTTCAAATTTTATTGTTTATTTTTATGGTTCACTGCTGGTGATAACAATTTAATTCCTATCTATCAATCGCATCCAGTTACTTATATTTCCAGTTATCATCATTATCGCTAACTATCACTAAAATTATCAATGATATAAATAGCAATGTATTTTGGAAAATTCCTTCTTTTTTCTATTCGCAGTGATGGCGGAGAAAAAATAATCTATCGTTACTAAAAATATAAATACCAAGTAGATATTTTTAATCATTCGTTTCTCTAATTTATTTTCGTACTGTATCAAAAAGTCATATTTCTCAATGGCATCCGATAATAACGAATACTTCTACTCTTTTAACTAATCAGCTGCCCCGCGATTTCTTGCTATTGTCGTTCATATTTTATTCGTCATTTCTTGTTTGATATATCAATTATTTCATGCAATATAGATCATCTATTGATGCAAACTTAGTCATTCTTTTTCTAATTGAAACAACCCTGTAGTAGTCAAAGTTACAAACTAGATATTAAATTTCTCGATTG